TGTGTGTGTGTGTGAGTGTGTGTGTGTGTGTGTGTGAGGGGCGGGTCCGTGAAGCTCCGCCGCTCGAACTAGAAGAAGAACTGCAGGCTCCGGAGGTCCAGAGCAGGTCCAGCGCAGATCCGGACTCTCGCACACCACACTGTTGAGGCTGACACGCTTTAGCATGTTTAAACTGTAGTTATGAACTTGAGCTGAAGTTTCTCGCTCTGTGCGGATTTACAGTCGAACTGCGACCTTTGGCATCGTGGGTGAGAAAACAACTTTATTCTGTTTGATAGAAATGCACGAACTCTCATGAATGACAAACGCCTGCAGTAAATGTAAATTAAATATTGATCCTAAAGTTACGCGATTTTATGATGCTGTTATAGTCCAAGAACTAGAATTGTTTTTCTTTTTTCCCCATCGTAAAGTTGGTGATTGGTAGCTCTAATCACATCTGGATCAGTGTGCAAAACACGGATATTAATAGCAACACATTTTGTCTTATTGAGGTCAGCGAAATACTCTTGAACAGTTAATGACTGGTGATTTATATGAGATTTTCTTCATAATAATATTGAAATATTTAGCATGAAGAGTGAAGCAGTCTGGTATCTGAAGATCTCAAACACTAAACTTGATCTCGTTGTCTTTCAGAGATTTAAGTCTAGTTTAATATTAGGCATGTTACAGTCGCTCGAAACCAGATCGATATCCAGTTAAACTCTTCTTGCTCTAGATCTCAGTTCGGCTCTTTCGGGGTTTTCTGTGGTTTCTGATGAGGATTATGAAGAGATTTTGAAAACCGATTTTTTTTTTCTATAGAAATATAGTTACTGGCGGTTTTTAAAAGCGTTTTCATGACAGCTTGTTTAAATAGCGACGGCACGGGACAAAAACTGGAGAAGAATTATATTTAATACAAAAAAATATAAAAATCTGGGGATAATAAAATTATGACATAGGCTTTCCATGCGAGACAATCAGAAAACGAATAATAATGAATACTGCAAAATATTGCCTATGTTTTCCATGTATCATAATTTGAGAAAAGAAACAACTTTAAAAAAAAAAAGTAGGGAAACAAGGCGGTGTTTCATGACTGGAGTTTAACGGCTTGGTTTGCGTGTGTTTTCTCAGGATCCTCGAGTTCGGTTCCGAGATGAGCAGTAAAGCGTTACCGGCGCCGATCCCGCTGCACCCGGCGCTGCAGCTCAACTACGCGTTCCTGCAGACGCTCAACGCGTTCCCCGCCGCCGTGGATCATCTGTACGGCCTGAGCTCGGTCCAAACCATGCAGATGAACCACTGGACTCTGGGCTACCCGCCCGTTCAGGGCCTCGTGGACCCGCGCTTTCCGTTCGCCGCGCACCTCTTCCACCCCAAACCCGCTGCCGCGCTGCACAAGGACAGACCCAGATTCGACTTCGCGAACCTCGCGGCGGCGGCCACGCAGGAGGATCGCGACGCCACAGTCTGACTCACAGCCCACAGCAGGACTACTAACTAGTGCACTAACCAGTGCTCACACGCTAGCTCTGCTCTCAGCCTCTGCTCGACTCGCTGGCACCTCAACAGACTCTGTGAACTCCTGTACAGTTTTTATTGTTATTTTTATTTTCACCTGCATCTGAACTCAACGTGTTTCGGTCTGTGTTCACATCTGGGAGGATTCATCGAGTGAATAAAGCTGATCTGCTCACACGAGCGCAGGATTAATAAAAGATCTTCGAGTCAAAGACAATAAAATATGAGTGAGAAGAGACGGACACAATTCTGCTTTAATAAAAGAGTTTTCTTTTTTTAAACGGTGACTATACTTTTGTAAAAAAAAAATTAAAAAAAAAAATAATTTTCCACTTTTTACATTTTGTAATAATAATATTTTATTTTAATATGGAATTAAATGTCCCGACGTGGTTATCTAATTTTAGTTATTATTTAAAAAAACTGTCAGCAGTAACCTGCAGAACTATTAGGCTGCTGAGCTTTCTAACTAACATTCACAGCTAAATACCATGATTGTGTAAGAAGTTAGACATTTTAAATTTAAGCTTTTTTTTTTTTAAGAATTAATGACAATTATAATATTTAGCTGTCTGGACTTTCTTTGTTAGTTACATCATTAAAAGCGTAACTCGATTTAATTTATATTTCTCTGCATGTGAACTGATCTGACTGAAGAGCCGCTCATTAACCAGAAAACACGCGTTTTATTGATTAAATCTCTAATTTAAGGTGTATGTGTAACATATTTATGCTTTCATCTTAAAAACACACAATGTGAATAAATATATTGTGCATATAAATAGCATAATATATAAATATTATAATCGTTATTTTAAAACATGAATAATGTGAAAAGCGAAGCTGCAGAAACAGACAGAAGCAAGACGGGTTTCAGGAGATCAAGAAAAGCTCATCTAGAAATCTGTTGATCGTAAATATAAAACTCAACAAAGACACGGGTGAACGATGAGCCCGCAACATCACACTCTTGAGATTAATAGCAGATTAATTAGTTCTTCTGATCATTTCGTATAAACGACGCGATTCCAAAACGTGTAAATCCTGTAATAAACACGATGTATTTTGGATCCAGAAGCTGAAATATTCCCAAAGAAGGGCTCTGAAGGGACTGCGATCATCTGCTCATAACCCCAGCGCGATTCGTCTGGATTTATTGATTATGACTCTATCAGTGTTCAATGAAATCCACTCACAGTATTTGTAAATCATTCGTGTGTTTAATAACGGAGATTTAGTGTTCATGATGATGATGATAACAAGTATTATCAGTATTTAATAATACAGTAGTAGCCAGTGTTTAAATATCAGTGTATGGTCAGTATTTAGAGATTTTAGAGTATATTCAGGCTAATAAACGGAGCTCCAAGCGCAGTTTAGCGCAGTCCAGCTAACCCTCACATCTAATAAGAGCTGTCTTTATCGCTCATTAAAGAGTAAAGCAGAGCAGTATTTAATAATACAGTAGTAGCCAGTGTTTAAATATCAGTGTATGGTCAGTATTTAGAGATTTTAGAGTATATTCAGGCTAATAAACGGAGCTCCAAGCGCAGTTTAGCGCAGTCCAGCTAACCCTCACATCTAATAAGAGCTCTGTCTTTATCGCTCATTAAAGAGTAAAGCAGAGTCTCAAACTAACGCGTTTACACAGCACTGTCAGTGTCCAAATAAGGATTATTAGTGTATGGTCGTGTATATGTATTCATGCAGAACGCGTCGCTTAAAAGCTGAACTTCATGTAACTTTTTATAACGCTGTGCGTCGGTCACTAAAGCAATAATGTGTTTGTGTTTGAAAGAAAATGACAAAAAAAACACACTCAAACTGCCATGACGCGCGCGCACACGTCTGCTTCGCGTCAGCCCTGTGCCGGAAGTGACGTGTCGACGCAGGCGGTGACGCTGTGGCGTTATGTATGCGGAAGTGATGGACGCGGCTTGTGTTTGTGTTTCTGCAGGAGTCTGACGCGTCGGATGAAGCTGTAAGTGTTTGTGTGTTTGTGAGTGTGTGACACGCGGTCTGAAGTGTGTCGTGTGATGTTCATGTTGATCATGAAGGCTTTAGAAACAGCGATCAAACCCGAGCTTGCTGAGAGTGTCAGTGAGGAATGTAAACACGGGGTCAAATGGTGCAGAAGTGACCCGCTTACTCAGTCAAATTAAGGCCCACGCTTTAATAACGTTTGAAAAAAAGCCTCTAATAACTTGTAATACATTTTGGGCTTTTGGCGCAATTCGTGTTTTTAATTTCTGTCAGAAATCTGTCATGTTTCATGTGGGTTGCCGTCATTTTTAGGTGAATTCTCCCTTTAACTTCTCGAGCACAGACACAGGGATATCAAAATACACAGGCTGAAGACATTTCTCATCAAAAAGAGACATTTAAAGGAATAAATAAAAATAAGAATACATAAAAAATAGTTGAAGAGCTCAAATGTATTAAAAAGTGAACGATTGTAATGGTCTAAATGACTGTCCTGATGGAGGAGTGAGCTTCATAACTCATACTTTTATGAATGAAGTGAATTTATTGAAAGGATATCAGAAAAACAGGTACCCAAGTTCATGAATTAATTCACAATATGCACACATTCACTCTTAATCTCATGTCTAATATGCTGAATATACTGGCATTTAAAGTTTCTTGTCTGGTCATATGACAACTAAGAATTACATTGCATGAATTACGTAAATTATATATTTTTTATTTAAAACGGCGGAATTTGACAAAAGTTGATTAGTATTCCTAAATATTACAGTCGGTAAATATTACAGTCGGTTGTTTAAGATTCTTTTGTAAAACAGTTGTGACTGAAATATTAAATCTTACATCGCGCGCTTTGACCGTTAAATCTGAAGCGTCAGTAAGGCCCCGCCCCCTTTGATTTGATTGGCCACATAATAATTTTAACATTAACGAGCGCTGTCAGAGGCTGAGGCGGTTCTGATGAGAGACAGAAATTACATTAAATTACAGCATCAAAATACAGATAACATTCGCTAGTGTAACGGAACCAGACGAGTCTTCTGCTCAATCTGACCTGTGCTGCAGCCTGGAATTAAACCACATCATGCTGGTTTCGTCTGGTCAGAGGAGAACTGGCCCCGGACTGAGTCTGGTTTCTCCCAAGGTGTTTTCTCCATTTCTGTCACTGATGGAGTTTTGGTTTCTTTGTCTTGCTTATGCCGAGTTCACACTGCATGATTTTCAAACTCGTCGCATCACTGTTGGTGTCACACTGCGTGACTATCTGGGGTAGCATTCAGTTGCTGCTGTGTTCACACTGCACGATGGATCGGCGACAATAGGAAGAATCGCCGACAGCTCTGTCTGCTGCAGGGTTGCCAGGTTTTCGCTACAAAACCCGCCCAATTACTACTCAAAACTAGCCTGAAAATAGCCCAATTGCTTTCGAGGGGTCCCCCAGTAAAAATCGCGTTCGGGGGTAAAATACACATTTTTTGGCGGGGTTCTACAGGTACAATTCACATTCCAGGGCCCAAATATTACATTATTGGGGTCGCTTCAACCTGCTCACATAAAAAACAACCGGTGGCAATCGCGGATTTGGCAACACTGGTCCGCAAACTACGTTTCATATAACTCCTCCCCGAACTTCCCGCTGCCCTGTATCTTGTCTCTCATTGGCTGTTGGTCATCGCCGATGTGTTTTTCAATCAGAACTCATTGCACACAGCGTGATTGTGAATCGCCAGATGCATTAGATGCATGCCAGATATTTTGCGGGCGTCGGCGATTCCCTCAGATCGCGTCTTTGATAATTCACACTGCGTGATTGTCACTCGCGTCAACGAGCACCATTTTGCCTCCGATTTCGGGCATTTGTCGGCGATTTCGCAAAACCTGTCGGCGAGTGAAGAATCGGGCTAATCGTGCAGTGTGAACTCGGCATTAAGTCAGTTCATTCCAAGTTCAGCTCTCTTCAATAGTGTCTGTGCAATCAGTCAAGCGTCCCCAACTAATGCCGAGTTGCACGATTTTAGCCCAATTTTTCACTCGCCGACAGGTTTTGCGAAATCGCCGACAAATGCCCGAAATCGGAGGCAAATCGGTGCTCGTCCCCAATAATGTAATATTTAGGCCCTGGAATGTGAATTGTACCAGGAGAACCCCGCCAAAAAATGTGTTT